TTGAACTTTTTTCCGTACACACTTGTAGGGACAGATCGCCAGAGCCAGGATAACCAGTGGCAGGATAACCAGAGTACATGGATAGATGTTGATGTATTTCGGACGTTTGTCCAAGAGATTGAAGAGGGCGATCCTGCGACGATTCGCTACATGAATCACCTCATGTACGCTCAGCTTTACCCGGAGCAACAAACTTATGCAGAGCCTGAGGTTAAGGAAAATACGCGAGGTCGTCCCAAGAAAACCGATTCGACTAAGCGTAAACCATCACGCTGGGAGTACAGGGATAATTCGAGAGGTCGTCCGGTGGGCCGTACAAGCACTTCTTCACGCGGACCGACAAACACTTCTTCGCGCGGAACGACAAACAATTCTTCGCGTGGACCCACAAGCAGCCAGTCTTCTCAACCGTCACAAGAGGCACCACAAGATGACATTTTTTTTTATACAACTGAACGTTAATTAAAGTGTTAATATAAATTATATTATATAAATTGTGACATAAAATTACTATTATGATGTTTCAGCTGGTATGTCGACAGTTATATTTGGTTTTGAATTTGTGAATAGTATTCTCTGGCATATGTTGGAGCACGTAGTGAGCTACTTGAACGTGAAAGCGGATGGTAGCTGTGGCTTTCGGGTTATAGCGAGTTACATTTACGAGGACCAGGAGATGTGGCAACTCGTACGAGAGAACCTTGCCAATGAGATTTACAGCCACCGTGAGTTGTACGAGTATATCTATTTCAGAGATATCGACCCCAACCTTGTTCGAATAAGGTGGGACGGGGGCCCTTGTGGCCAGCATCACTGGATGGATACTCCATTCGACCTCTTCCCTGTTTCAAATCTATTTAATACGACTGTCATTTTGTTATCCTCTGGTCATGATGGTCAACAGTTCAACCAATTAAGTTGTACAATATTGCCGCTCTCTGTACCATCGACGGCTACACGACCACGGCGTGAGATTGGGATCTGTCATCTTGGAGTATATGCACACTATATTCGTGTATATTTGACTCCTGATTGTCTATTACCGCATATTCATCCTTTATGGTTTGGGTACCGAACTAATTCGGTACGGGGTTGGGAGGATCAGTACCAGCGTAGGTTGCAATTGTGGTATGAGGAACAAAATGTTCCTTGATGAATAAAAGACGAATATTATTCGGTTGTGTTGATATCCGAGTTAGCCAGGAATGAGCCGGGGAGACGTTGCCAACCGATTCGAGCCAAAAACCCGGTCTGATGAGAAAGTGCCGAGCTGGATCATGGATTAGAGGGGCGGGAAACCGTCCTGGGAACAGATTCTCAGCCCGGCACCCTTCTCAGACCGGGGAGCTGCCGACCTGGAAGGGTGCCGGACAGGAAGGGGACTAATCGTAGTCTCATGAGTATCTACGAACGAAGTGCCGACCTGAAAGTATGAGGAGGCCGGCCAGGGACGACGCA